TGTTTCTTCTGATGATGAAAGCGGTAAAAAAGATCATCAACCAAGTAAAAAGAAATCCAAGATGCCCGAGAAGTCTAAGAAATCATCTTCCATTAAAGCTTCTAACAAATCTACTGAGGTCGTTTCTTCCGATGATGAAAGCCACCAACCAAAAAAAAATAGCAAGAATAGCAAAAAGAAATCCAAATCTAAGAAGTCCAAGAAGCAAAGAAAACGAAAACAATCAACTTCTCGATCAGATTCTCGGTCAAATTCAAGTTCAGAGAGAACTAGCGGATTGGAAACTGATTCTAGTCCAGCTGCTCCCAGGAAAGTAACTTATCACAGTTTAACAGAATTACCAAAAGATACGAAAGATAACTTGCGTGTAAGTAATTATTTAATTTCGAATTTATTTAAATGCATGAAACTAACACAAATAAATATTTAGCGAGAAGTAAAATGGAATATCAAACGTATGCCTACAGGCAGTCAACTCGACATCAATAAAACTTTCGAGTCGCAGAAGGATCTGGTAACGAAAATAATCATTCCCGTTCTATTCAAAGTGTTAGATACCAACGCGTATCCGGTTAGCGAAGGTGTGCTATACGAAATGATTTATCAGCGCCACCGCCATCAGAGAGAAGATTTATTAAAAAAAGAGAAATCCGAATCTGAGCAAACTGAAGAAACCAAAAGAAAACATGGCAATTCACGCCAAAGCGAGGTAATATTATATTAATTGAGTTTATTTATGAAACATTAGCTAATTAGCCATTAAAATTGAGAGAATAGAAACGAATAAGACGAACGAACATGGTCAGACATTTACAACTATTAGACGATCCAATTGTCTCAAAGTTAAAGAAATCGGAACTCAATCCAATCATGTTAAAAAATGCGTATCATAGTCCAGAGGAGTCCGAAGTTGATTCGGACAATGATTCAAATGAAAATCGTATTGTAATACGAGATATCAAGTGGAGAAGTGATTGCGTAAGTAAATAATTTTTGCAAATTGTACATTATATTAGCTACTTTGGTAATCCGATTGTATTTTTTAGTTGCGAATATTTTTAACAGACTATTTGGATGTATTATTTTATCAGCAAACAGTTGATAAAAGAAGATGAAAACGAGTTTTTGATAATTCTCAGTATGCTTCGGGGGAGGAAACTGCTCCATTAAACGCACCTTGATGAACGAGATCTGGATACAAAGGATCGATGTTATCGATTATAACTGGGGAGTTAAAGAAATATAGAGAAAATGATGATAATGATGATATTGGACACCATTCAAGAAAGAAACCAAAATCAGTTGAAGGGATCCATGATGATGATGATGATATTGGACACCATTCAAGAAAGAAACCAAAATCGGTTGAAGGGATCCATAATGATGATGATGATATTGGACACCATTCAAGAAAGAAACCAAAATCGGTTGAAGGGATCCATAATGTCAAATAAAATTCTTATTAAAATTCTTATATAAAATTTAATTAACTATCATAATATATTAGTCATATAGAATATTTTAGACTAGTAGTATTAATATTACAAATATTCTGTTAATTTTACATCTAATAATATATAATAAATTGAAATTAATTAATTGCGTGTAATATAAATCTGATATAATAAATTGATAAATTAAGTAGCAATTTGGAATCAATCGAAAGCATGTATTGATTCTATATTTTAATTTTTTTTACAATCGGACATAGCCTATTGATTACTTTTTAATAAATTATGTGTATATATTGATACAATTAACCAAAATGACATCAATCGGTAAGCTACTAAATAAGAAAAATGGATAACAATAGGTTAATCTAACAAGTAAATAAAAAAAAACTGGATAACAATAAGGTCAATCCTATTGATATCCAGTTGCGAACGAATAGGTACTTTATTGATAACCTTACCCTGCATGATTGGGGCCATTTTATAGTTACCAATCGGGTACCCTGCAAAAATAAATAAAAAAAAATCGGGAACCATCTAGGTCCTTTTAGGATAGCCTAGATGGTCCCCGATTTGGCAGCTTTCGACCTGTGTCATTTATATTTTATTTAATTTTTTATTAACTATTAATCCTAGAAATGTGATTTTACTACCATTTGTTGAGACAATTCTAATGAGCTATATTTCATTCTTTTCTGATCACTAGATCAGAAGTTATTAGCAAACTGCCTGATTGGTGAGTGGTACCGGTATTTAGCGAAAATGCCAATCAGTTATCAATCAATTACCAATCAACTACCTGATTGGTGACCGATTGGTGACTAATTTTTTACTTTTTGACCTGTGTTTATAATCATTACTGTTGACAGTAGTAACAAATATTGTATTAAGTATATATATAAACTGTACTGTATAAAGTGAGAACTTACCAATCAGATTTTATTGTATAATAAATAAAAAAAATTGAAAAGTATATAATGAGTTATGATTGGCTGAAATATTTTCGTACAGTACAGTTTAGCTGACTGTACAGTACAGTTTATCTATTTACCTATTTATCAACCCTTTTGACATTAAAAGTATTATATATAGTTTCAAATAATTCCATATGGTAAAATAGCAAATCTATTTTCATTACATCTAATTTACTACTAACTTTCTTTTCAAATAATCATAATTATTAAGTTTATTTATATTTTTAAGTAATATTGCTATTTTAAATACTTGATTTTCATTATCATATTAATTTCTTTAAAAAAATTTTAGTGCGCAATTTTACTCAAAAAAAATTGGAAATTTTAATCTATTATTTATTATATAAGATGGTTAAAAAGCTTACACATAAAGTTGCTTGCCGAAACCTAGGGGTTTAGGCAAGATGGCGTTTCACCGAAAAGCGAAATTCTGCCGAAACTATATTAAAGTTATATTAAAAAACTGGCAAAACTTTGGAGAAAGGCGAAACTACCGAAACTTATTATAAATGCCGAAACTGCCGAAACT